GCCATTTTTCCCCTCTTTTCCTTAGCTGTGCTACTCCCTTTTATTCTATTGGCTTTTGAAAGCCAATAGAATAGACTCTCTTGAATAGAGTCTAATTCTATTGGCTTTCAAAAGCCAATAGGAATTGTCCAGGCTGTCTCTGCCCTGCTGAGCCCGCCAAAAGTCCCATTCTGCAAACGGTGCTGCAAGTTGTCTGCAGCGAAGGCGAGCTGTCTGGAAGTTTCCACCCCTCCCTGCTGAGCAACTACTAAAAATGTAAGTAAAAGAGGGCCAGAGGTGGGAGGTGGGAGGCCGGCGGGCGCAGGGAGGGTTGCTGGTGCTTGTGGGGCCCGGTGGATGCCTTACCTCCCTTGGGCTGGGCCAGCAGGTGGCCCAGCCGGTGGTCGGCCTGCTCCATCTCTGCCGCTTGCCAGCTACGCCTTGGCCGGCGCAGGGGGTGGCACCACGCATGCGCAGCGCTCCCAGGCAGGGAAAGTCCTCGACTTACGACCGGTTGGGTAGTCCTTGACTTACGACCAGTTGGGTAGTCCTCGACTTATGACCGGTTGGGGTCGCGGCATTAAAAAGGTTGAGAACCACTGGTTTAAAGTTATCCACAGCTGGTTTGGTAGTGATTCAGGCACCAGATTAGGAACCAGGAGACAGTGAATTAGTCATCCCGCCTTAGGTATGAAAACCGGCTGGGTGATTTTGGGCCACTCACTCTCTCAGTCCAGCCCTTCTCACAGGATTGTTGTGGTGGGGAAAATAGGAGGAGGAAGGTAACCCTGGATATGTTTGGCGCTTTGAGGTATTTATAAAACTAAATAAAAATAACCGTAGTGTCTCCCGTTTTAAAACAGAGTTTTCCCTCTTGCCTGCTTCACTGACTAGTTGAAGTAGTCAGGACCTGAGTTCTGCTCAGCAGCTCTTAGTCCCCTTAGACTCCTTCGACAGCTGGGCATCACCCTCCATACCCAAAGAAACTAAACACCGATTTCTGCAAAGGCATCTGCACTTCAGGCTCCTTATCGACATATATTTATAGTCTGGACTCGTTAAGAAAGTGTCTCGGGTTCTGCCAGTTTTGGGTGTTGCTAGGTCAAATTGGGATTGGAGCCACTGTAAGTGTTCTGCTCCTCCTGCCCACAAGAAGCTTGTACATACTTCTTACTATTTTTATTCATGTTCTGTGAGGCTTCCTAGAGGAGCACCGTAGCTATTGCCTTGCTGGGCAAAGAGCTGTGGACCAGACTCCTACGGTTGCAGTTCCCCAGGCTGTCTATGCAATGCAGTGCAGTGGTCCAGACTTACTTAACTGCACATTCATACAAAGCTGTCCCCAGATGAAGGTTGCAGAGGGCAAAGACAGTTGCAGCATCTTGTAATCGCATGATTGTGATCTGCAACTTCTCCAGCAATTGCTTCCAACAATCAAGGACAACTGGGGGCTTTGCTTAATGACCGCTTAAGGGTTCTCTTAATGATTTTGTAATTTGCTTAATAACCTCAGTTAAAATTTGTGGTAAAATCAGGTCTGGTCATATGATAAATCACTTTATGACCACCCTGACTTATGGAAATCCCACCCCCAATGGAGAACTACCTATGCTCCACCAGCAGAGAGAGCGAGAAGGAAGATGCTTTCACTGCAAAAGCATTGATGAAGGGATGGTACTGGAAAAAGTTGAGTGTGGACCTAAATGTTTTGGCCAGGACAAAGATAAGCATGTTAAGAAAAGGCAATTTCCCTTGATGGGAAAATGGGGCTATGCCATGAACTAATACGTGAAGTCCCACCCTTGCAATCACTGGATGGTAGAATTTTAGTTTCAAAGGAAGAGAACACGACATATGGAGATAGGCGGTGAGGCTGCACAGTGCAGGAGATTTTTCTTGAAAATAGGAAGAATGCATAATACAGGTAGTCTTCCACTTCCAGCCATTCATTTGGCGACTGTTCGAAGTTACGCCGGCACTAAAAAAAATTAACTTATGACTCTTTTTCACACTTATGACTGTTGCAATGGGATCAAAATTCACTGGCTTGGCGACTGACTCATATTTTTGAGGGTTGAAATGTCCCAGGGGTCATGGGATCAACTTTTGCTTTCTATCTGACAGTGGGAAGCCTTGCTCATTTAACAACTATGTTATTAACTAAGCAATGCAGCGAGTCATTTAACCACTGTGGCTCATTTAACCAAGGGTGTAAAATGGGGCAAAGCTCGCTTAACAACTATTTCATTTAGCCACAGAAATTTTGGCTCCAGTTTATGGTCGTTAAGTCGAGGACTACTTGTAAAGACCTGCGTCAACATTGTCACGGCATTGAGTGTAATGCTGGATAAACCCAAATTCAAAACAATAACAACACCCCATCCCAGGATTTCTTTTACTTGAAGAAGTTTGGACAGGCACAGCACATTGGAGTGAATGAAAATGCACTTATTATTTTAAATGTTTTGGCCGCCCAATTCCAGTGGACTCTGGGTGTTATACAAAGCTACAGAAAACATTAAAAAAAAAACAGGTAAAAAAATTGAACCCCACTGAAAGCTCAGATTTAAATAATTGAATGGACAACAAAAATGACAAAACAGAACAAGGGCCATGGCACAAATAATGAACATCAGCCCCAGGCTAGGACCAAAGCCAAATTTTCAAGGCCTTTTGACACTCCGGGAGAGAGGAGGGGCATGCCCTCTTTATCTCTAGGGGGATGCTGTTCCAGAGGGTGGGGGGGCTGCACCTCCTCAGTTGGCACCAGATGGCAATGTTCAAGGGCGGGGACTTGGAGTACATTCACTCTGCTGGAACGTACTGGGCGGGGAAGCACCAGTTGGAGATAAGTGGTCTCTCAGATATCAGATTTTCTCCCCAACCATTAAAAGAACCAGAAATAGCACAAGATGTCTAATTGCTTCTTCCCTCCCTCTCCCTTCCCTTCCCTTGGCAAAAATGTGAAAACAATCTGGGTGATCTCACCCATCCCTACTTCCCTCTGAGATGTTCGCCTCAGGACAAGGACATGGCAGCATGAGAGGCCCCTGGGAAGCTGGAGCCTCTTAGCTTTGGGACCCCTGGCAGAGGCTGTTCCTTTGGAAGTCCTTTCCAACACATCCCTCTGCAGGAAGGCTCTTCCTAGCATGGAAGAGCCAGGATGCCTTCCTCTCTGAATGCCTGTGACAGCAGGAAATGAATGGCAGGGGTCCTCCAGCAGGAGCAGAGCTTAATGGAGGGCTGCAGTTGGCCTCAGCTATTGCAAGGCAGAAAAGCTAGCTGGGGGCAGGGGGTCTCACCTGCCTAATGGGAGGCTGAAAGGAATAGGAATCCTGTTCCTTGCCATCAGACCTCCAGGCTACCTGTAAATGGCCCCTTTATTTATTTATTAAATGGTTCTTTGCTTTTAATGTTGTAAGCTGCCCAAAATTGCTTTCAGACTACATGGGCAGCAGATAGATAAATAATAGATAGATGATAGATAGATGAAGATAGATAGATAGATAGATAGATAGATAGATAGATAGATAGATAGATAGATAGATGCTAGATAGGTAGGTAGGTAGGTAGATAGATGATGATGACAGATAGAGATAGATGATAGAGATAGAGATAGATAGATGATAAATAGATGATATAGATGATAGAAAGAGATAGAATAGAGATAGATAGATGATAGATAGATGATATAGATGCTAGATAAAGAAAGACACAGAGACATAGATATCCCCTTCTTATCTTATCTTATTCCTTCTGCAAATACAATCACCCTGGGTCTTATTTTACTGAAGAGAGTTATCTGTTCTGAAGGCTCTGTAAATCTGGTTACAGGGTCGAGGACCCCAAAAAAGAGAATCCTATTCTCAACTCTAGAAAATTCCATAGTTCTTTTTTCATAGCAGCATATAGATAATCCTTGACTTACGACCATTTGTTTAAAGATGGTTCAAGGTTACAGCAGCTTTGGAAAAAGTGACTTATGACCTGTACTTGCACTTACGACCGTCATAACACTCCCTCCCACAGGGTCATGTGATTGCAATTCAACTGCTTGGCACCTGGCTCACATTTATGACTGGTTGCAGCATCCTATGTTCATATGATCATGATTTGTGACCTAGTTTACTGATTTCCAATAAAAAACACTCATGGTGATTCACTTAACAAACATTATAAAAACTGTCATAAAATCGTGTCCAACTTGACTTACAACCCTGTCTCGGTTGTGGTCATAAACCAATGACTATCTGTATGGTTATTCTATGTAGTCCTATTCCCAATGCAGAATTCATACTCCAGTAGCCTTTATTTATTCTGCCTTGACACCACTCTTCCAGTCTAATGGAATGGAAAAGATTGCCCATTCCCATTTTTTTTCTGAAGCCAAACCAACAGTAAAAATATACAAAGGAGTAGCTTGACAGTGAGCTCTCTTCCTGGCATCACAACCCTTGGAAATAATCAAACCCTAAACTAAGTATCAACCATGCACAATATGATTCAAACACGATCCTTGGGGGTCTAGGCCAGGGGTGTCAAACTCACGATGTCACATGATGTGTCACAACATATCGCGACTTTTTCCCCATTGCCGGCAATGGGGTGGGCGCGGTTTCTTCGTGATGCATCCGGCCTGCAGGCCAGCAGTTTGGCACCCCTGATCTAGGCTCTTAAGTGCGCAGAATCTATTCAAACCTTGATCAATTATGTGAGAAATGTGGAGATATTTTCCCAAAACCTTTCTTTGCATTCAATCACATTCCCATTCTTGATGCCGAATGCCAATAACCTATCAGGTCTGTGACTGCCCATTCTCTCTGGTTTTCTTTTAATGCATTTTCCCTCCTCTACAAAACCACCAGGAAGTTGCCTGGATAATTTATGCCAAGAGAGACAGAACCTCAAAGAAGTGAGAACAAACAGGCCAGGGGGTTAAGCTGAAAGCAAAAGTCATGAACTGCATGGCCTTAAGCAAGTCTGCCAAGGTGCTTACATAGGGATCAGAGCAACCAACGTACCTCCTGGCAGGCTTATGGGCCCACAACCCTGTTCCTTCTCCATCTTGTTTTCTTCAATGTAGATCCGTTTGATACAGAGCCGCCATAACCCAAAGTGAGCTGTCTCACAGGTAGTGTTGTATTCCTCCACCTTAGGATTCAGCACAGCCCAGTGATCGGTCACCACTGCCGTGAACATCAAGGCAACCCCTATCAAAATAATAGCAAAAGTCACCCGGACTTTGAGAGCCTTGCCTTCGGTCATGGCTGGAAAATGTAGGGTAGAAAGAGGGGCTAGGTGTTGCTTCTGCTCCTCTGGCAAGGAGCACCGAGAGCTGTCGGAGGCGTCTCCCGAAAGGCTTGGTGTAGCTAAGCATGTTCAAATGTCAGCTCTGCCATCCCAGAGGGGAGGAGGTTGGGGGCTGGGGGAAGACGGGCAGTCGGCTGCATATACACCTGTTGGGATCTATCAGATGACAGGACCGGCTTGGAGGAACTGCTATTAATGTATAGAAGGGGTGGAGTCACCAGGGCTGTTCAAATTACAGGGTAGGTAGGGAATTCCGAAATCAGACATGAAGCAGAACTGTGTATAAGGAATGATCCCTTCACCATGCCCCCTCGATCCCAGTTTGCATGACGCTGTGTTTTGTGCATACTCTTCAAGAATAGTCCTGAATACTATCTGGCTGTAGCAGTAGAACTGGAAATGTCTGTCTACTCTCCAGTTAAGTCAAATGTTCCATCAAGAAAAAGCTGAGCTGTCTTTCTAGACTTAAATGTTGGCTTGTATGTGTGGTTGCTTTCAGATACAAGCCCTCTGTTTTGGCTGCTCACACAGAGGGGCAAGAAGCCGGAATGAACATGAGGAATTCATCAGTTACTGCTTAGTTTTTTGTCTCGTCCCAGTACATTGTGCCATCAAAAAGAACTTTTTAACATAGCTAATTTTTCTTACTGAATAACAGTTTGCTTACAGGAACTGGGAAGGGATAGGAGAGCAAATGGCTTTCATGCCCAAATGAGGCCTAGAAGTTGGCCCCTAGAATAGTATTTCCCAAGTCCACACATCTTAAAATGGCTAAGGTTGGAAAACACTGACCTAGAATGTTGTCATTGTTCCGCTGCACAAAAGGAAATGTAGCAAGAGTGCAGAAACTATTGATGAATGAGTGCATTAAATGTTCCTGTGAAAATGTTTTTTAGAATTCTGAAAAAAGGGTACAAGGTGAACAACATTTGACCAGCACAGTGTGACTTCATGCTGAGTAGGAAGTATGTAGGCCAGGTGTTTGCTTGTCAGCAGATCACTGAGAAACAGATGAATATGAGGAAGACTACTGCACAATTTTTGCTCCAGTAAAAATATATAAAGAAAAGAACAGGCTTATTTATATGTTATCTTTATTGCTTTATTATATAGATAAAGTAACTTAAAACAGTACAAAAAAGAGAAAAAAATTAAGAGAGCTCCAAAAAAGAGGACACACCCACAAACACGTACACATGCATGTATCTTATAAAAATCTGCCTTTAATCCTTGAACACACAAAATAATATTAGTCTTTTTTTCACATTGGTAGAAAGAAAGGTCAGAGGTGGTTATTGAACTCATCTTGACAATGCAAAATTTGAAATTAGGCCTGGTATCTGGCAGAATGTTTCTAACAGACTACACTTTAGCTACTCTCATATCTAGAATTTTCATCAATTGATTAATTCTAGAACTTTCGATAAATTAATAACATCTTTAAACCTTTTTTTCTTAGCATCCCATTAAAAATATATTAAACTATAAAAGGACAAGCAAAGAGTATTGTAGTATATGTGTCAATTTTCTTTCCACCATATTACCACACTTCCTACATATAATTAATGATCTATGACAGGGGTAGGCAACCTTGGCTCTTTTATGACTCGTGGACTTCAACTCCCAGAATTCCTGAGCCAGCTAGGTTGCCTACCCCTGATCTATAACTTGTTGTTTATATGTACACTGAGAGGTTATGCACCAGAGACAAATTCCCTGTGTGCCCAATCACACTTGGCCAATAAAGAATTGAAATCTATTCTATTCTATTCTATTCTATTCTATTCTATTCTATTCTATTCTATTCTATTCTGATTCAAATATGTGAACAACCAGTTCTCTGTGTGGATGCCGCTTCCGGAAGTCCTTTCTGGGCCTGGGCAACAAAATATTAGCTACCGGTTCTGCCGAAGTGGTGTGAACCAGCTGAATTCCACCACTCATTCTATTCTATCGTTGTTTTTGTTTTTGCTGTTGTTGTTGTTGTACTTGACTTTAATCCTGCAGGGTTTCAATGCATGGTGATAAGGCTGAATTGTGGAACAGTTTACCGTAAACTGAAGGTTGCTAAATATAAGGGTAGTAAATCCATAGCAGTTCCTGAAGACATCTTCAGGGCAGTTAATTGGGGAGAAAGAGGCATTATTACAAATCAAAAAAGGTTCACTCACCTCTGGTTTGCCAATGACACTGAGATGATCAATCACAACATCAAAGAAGATGAAAACTGTTTAAATAAGCTCAGTGGAGCAAGTAATGAAGTTAGCTTAAAGATCAATAGAACCAAAACTCAATATATGCGCAAGTGATTTTGCCAATACCACAAAATGAAGCTTGGAAATGAGCCAATAGAAGATCTGGATTCTTCCATCTAGCTTGGTCAGGAAATCAATAATTCATACAAAATTGACCAAGAAGTATGACACAGAAGAACTACAGTAGCTCAGCTCAGCTTTAATGACATAAAAACATTTCCCCAACAGATGGGAAACGCCAAGACAAGAGCAATACTTTCCACACCTTGACATTTGCAGGAAGAACCTATGGATCTGATGTGTGGAACTGACAGAAATCAGATATAGAAACATTTTGAGTCACACAGCGCACAATGGAAAGATAAATGCCAAAGATCCCTCTTTGAAATAGAACTGGAAATGAAGAAATTCAACAACAATTTTAAAGGTGTCATAAAAACAGCATTAAAAATGGAAATGCTGTGTAAAAGGGCAAGGCACATTGTATATTTATCTGATAATAAGTGGACACAAAAAGTGGAAAACTCATGGTTGGGTGAAACGGATGAGATTCTGCAAAAGGGACAGATGATATATTCAAGGAAAAAAAGAGGAAGTGTAAAGAAGTTGATGGACATAGTGGCAGTTTTTCAAACATAGAAAGGTATGATGGAGAGGTATAATAGAAGGGGACAAAGGTTACTTAATGCCATATCATTCAGAAGTGTGGCAACACAACATTCCATCAAAATGAAAGCTCCAAGAAGTAATAGTTTGGATTGGGTAAAACTGAATTAATTCTTCCTCTAAAAAGTGCAGGGTTTTATTTTTTTTTATGTGGGAGAGCTCTTGAGCAGAATTTTTAATTGTTAGATTTTGGGGATGAGATTAATTCTGTTGCATCAAATATCAATCCAATAAAGATGGCAAGAACTGTCAGGAATCGCTGGCATGATTGTTGTCTAGTAAGGGAGAATCCACTGACAACAGTTGCAGCTACCAAAAAAAAAAAAAAAAAGCAGCTAATGTTTGAATAGCAAATGCCACTTTGCATTGAGTCCAAAAACGAGATATGCTCCAAGTCTATATTTTAAATGCCAAAACAGATACTGTGTCTGTACCTGCAAAGACACATTAGCATCAGCGCAACTGACTTGCAAGCTTCAAGAACCATAAAAGTGGGAAGAGGGTGTGAAAATCTACTTTACCAAAATGACTGATGTCTAGAAAAAAAAATTAATAACGAGGTTAATTTGAACAATGCCATCCTTAAATCTGTAATGAAGTCTTATTCTCTTCAGGCCTCCTTCCCCTCTGTCCCCTCCAGCCATAGCTTTCATGAAAACTCTTAGCTGCAGTTGAAACACACACACAAAGAGACAGAAAGAGAGAGACAGAGAGATAACTGTCTAATTGTTTAATATTCTTGGCACATCTTCCATATTTATGCTTCAAAAGGCAACACTGAACATTCCATCCATTGAACCTTTACTGTCTCGTTGACATGAAAAAGAATTGCAGATGTTTTCATGGAGGGCCACCTAAACAATGACAGCAATTGGCCATAAAAAGGTCTGTTCTTGCCTTCAGTTCAAGAATTTCACCCCAATGGATTCATATTCATTCACCCCAAGACCTTAGATCATGATAGAAACTGCAGGAGGACACAGGGCATTGGTTAGGCCAAGCAAAATGTCTCCTTTACTGAATTACCAGTCCAAGGACTTGTAAAAGAACCAGCTTATCTGCCTGGCCACTCATAAGACCAAGGGATGTTGACAAAACTGGGAGAAAATACTAGGAGAAGAGCAAAGGCCAGCATAAAATAAATTCATGGAAATAACTTCTTAGAAAGTAAAAGTGTTTATAAAATATTGCCTCATAATTCTCTCAATATACTATTGCTTTTAGCTCCACTTCATTGTCTCAAGAGATTTGCTGCCATACTTGACGTGCACCAATCACATGTAGGTTTAGCCCAAACATACATAAATACGTGCGTGTGTGTATATTCTAACGTGTACGTCTCTGTAAGAAGGAGTTGAATTCCCACCTCTTTTGCTGACTCCAGTGCCATAATAAACTCTTTGTGCTTCATTGGATGGGTGCTCCAGTCTCTTATAACTGAACTCTTGGGGAAATCTAAGGAATTTCTCTTACAAACCAGTGTAACATCTTTTATCAAGATTCGGAAAAAGCCTCCAAGTACAAACCAACTCTCAAAAACAGAATTATAGTCCAAATTTCCCAAACTATACCTAGCAATCCGAATTCTTCCCTGGGAGGGGATAGAGCACAACTCTATTAATCCTGGGTTATACGTGACGAGGGATGAGGTGTGACCAGGCAGCCCTGCCAGCAGGAGCTAAGCTTGTTTATCCTTACGAAGCCAAGAAGAATGTGGCACTCGGACAGGTGCTGCGGCTGCAGAGACCAAAACCGCTTTTGACTCACAGCTGAGTCTAAAGTATCCTGTTCCTCCTACATAGTCGAACACATGGATGGCGATTTCACAAAGTCCCTGGGGCCGAAGGGCAAAAATATCAGAGAAAGGAGAGGAAATAAAGGTAATCCTCAAGTTACGACCCCAACAGAGCCCCAAATTTATCTTGCTAAATGAAACGTTTGTTCAGTGATTTCTGCCCCATTTTACGACCTTTCTTGCCACAGTTGTTAAGTGACTCACTACAGTTGATAGATTAGTAACACGGTTGTTAAGTGAATCGGACTTCTCCATTGACTTTGCTTGTCAGAAGGTCACAAAAGGGGATCACATGACCCCAGGACACTGCTACTGTCATAAATATGAACCAGTTGCCAAGTGTCTGGATTTCAATCATGTGACCGCGGGGATGCTGCAACAGTTGCAAGTGCAAAAAACGGTCAAAAATCACTTTTTTCAGTG